TAGGTCTATAAATTCTATTCAATTCCCTCTGGAAGCCACTGAATAACTCTACATTATATCATTTAAATTTTTTCATTGCCCTGCCAATCCAGATGATTTGCCCTGCCAATCCAGATGATTTGTACTCCCCCCCCCCTCAAGTTTCATCCCTGGGTGATACAGTATAAAGTCTAATTGGGAAGTGATGGCACAGACTGAAATTTGAAACGGGAAATAATTTCGCAAAGGCAGATTGCCGACCTGTCAGGACATCATGTCAGGGCGGCAGATTAACATGCTGTAGACCTGTTTGCTGATGGCAAATTGTTGCTGATCTGATTGTTCCTATTTCAGATGGCCTGAATATTAGCCAAATGACACATAATTATATATTTATATAAGTGAAATATCCTAACATTTTGTATAATAGCTATTTAGTAAATAAAAATAACCAACCCCTTAACCTTCTAATTGAAGCTAATTGCAATGCATATGGGGCTTGTGCATGTGAACCGTGTATCAGGCCATTTTGTTGTTCTCACCAAAAGCTTTGCTTTGATACCAAAGCGAGGCTTTGTGATGGAAAAAATAGCATGACTTAAACCCATACAAGACCAATTATCTTGCTTTGATGCTAGAAATTGGTAAAGCTGTTGGATAGTCATTTCATTATTTTATTATAAAATACATTACTAAATTCACAGGCATTTATTCATACACTGGATGAAGACACAGTGAGAAAACTGGCAATTAGAAGCCTAAGAAGAGGAATAAGTAGTACGGATTATGTTCACACATGGGCTCGGCATGGATATTTGGGCAAAGGGAATCGCAGTGTTTGCCCCTCTTGTGTAGTCCTCAAAATAAGACTTTTGACTGGAGTTTATATGTGGTACAGAGAACAATAATATTCATGAACCTTTGGTAAACTTTCTAAAGCAAAGGGAATTTGATTTTAATAATTTATATTCTAATTTATGTACCTATGTATATAGTAAGTAATAAAGATTTTTTATATTTTGTACAAAATTGGAATGTGTCACTGTTACATCAGTTATGGCAAAAATCAGTATTTTCGTTTTGGTATGTCCACACCGTTGCTGGTGTGATATTTGTTGCTGGTGTGATATATGTGCAACAGTGGGGAGCAATGTTGCATTTAAGGAAACATGGCAGGTGATATAACCATCATCATGCAGTCAATCTGTTGCTCGTTGGATAACCTTTGAAATGAGAACTGGAATGCACTCAAATCCTTTTTCAACTTTCACACTTTTCACATCCCACTGCCTGGTCCTTCTGTTGTTGGAAAGGCTCATGACTTTGTAGTTTGTACAGGTGACTCAACACGAGAAAGGGTTTGTCATCTGACCTTTATTTTTAATGGTGTAGATGTTTGGGGTTCTGAAAGCAGGAAATATGAAATATTATACAGCACTAATACCTGTGGTCAATGCTGTAAATTATATAAATATAAACCAATTCTTTTTATAATTTTTGACACAATTTTTCTTTGTCTAATATACCTTGCAAAATCGTATTTTGAAACTGAATAGTAATATTACTCCCATTACAAAGCACATCCTATATAAAAGTGAATGTCCTCTTCATACCTTGGCTGATGTTTGCTTGTTCTTCAAACCATATGAGACTCATTGTGTTCTACTTCCGTTGTCAAGACAGAACTCAGTTGCCACCAGAAAGGTCCAGAATCGATGTGCTTGAATTTCGTCGTTGTTTTGGTAGTATTTTTGCAGACGCTGATTCCCCTAAATACAAAGCAAAATAAATTGCACATTAGGCTCGTTTACTCTTCGAAATATATTGAAAATCATATTGTAAACCTACCTGCGGCGAAATTCCAATGACAACAGATGTGCAGCAAAGTTAGTGTCATTTGAATGTTCATATCCACCACTTATTTTGGCCTCTTGCCACGTATCAAATGTCTTATCACTTAAATAGATCCTTCTGTGCTCTTTCTCCCATAAATTTCTGTACTCTTTTCGGCTCGAAAACACCTTTTTTCGACCAGCATTTTTCCTTGAACCCCCGTACTGAGTCAGCATGACGCCCCGGGCAGACGCCATATTGAAATTCGATACACTTGAAAAAGTTGGGTCAACTTTTTCCAGTGAGCTCCATATATATCTGGAGTAGGAACTTGGTTGCTCAAAGTGAAGCCAGTTTCGTGTTAACCGCGCATACAAAAACAATAGAAAGGGACTGGAACTGACGTCCAACAGCTCCTTCAATTTCCGCCATCTTGGCAAGGAGTGTGTTGAAATTTCGTATTTTGACTTCTATTTAAAGAATAATATTGTGATTTTATGAACTGAAAATTTGATTAGTGATACGGTCCATTAGAAAAAACTGGAATTAGCTTGGGAAAATGGTATAAAAACTGTTTACAACCTTCAGAGCTATTGGACGTCAATGGCCGCCATCTTGGATTTTTTTTGGCTTCACTTGACCTATTGCCAAAACATTAGAAGTTCCTACTCCAGATATATATATATAGAGCTCACTGACTTTTTCAAGTTGATCTATGCGCAGAACGGATGCGCAGCGGGTGACACTGCCGCTTTAAGGTTACAGGACACCCTTTTTGGCGTTTTGCGGAAAATCGCTACTGCGCGCTCAATATCAGTCCGATTTTCATCACATTTTCACCAAATGTTCTCCAGTGCATGCAAAATATGGTAAAGTTGTAAAATTAACAAACAATAAAATAATGTAAAAATTATTCAGGAAAATCTTAAATCGCGGTACCTTTACGCTTTTGAGTTGTGCTCCTGCTGGTTTTAAGTTATATTTATGAAAATATCATTTTTATACAGTAAAATAGTTGTTCTAAAAAATTGTGTTCGGGAATTTTTGTTTATTTCGTCATTCCGCTGATATGGCGATTTCTTTGACGACTGCAATATATTTCTGAATTGTTTGAGTGAATTGCTCTTTATTTTTAAAATATCCAAAATTAAAAAAAAGCCAAACACAATTTTGAAACTGACGTATTTAGCTATGACCTGTGAAAATTTGAGAAAAATTGGGTAAAACCCGCAGGAGCACAACTCATTTGAAAATCAGTAATTACCGTAAAATTTTTCGGGAGAAAATTGAATTTGAATGTTACATTTTCAATGTTTTTCTTATTGCAGCAAAATGTATTTTATTAAATAACTCTGCGAGTTTTCAACATTTTTCGTTCAAACTTGGTCAAATAGTAGAACTAGTCTAATGCTTTCATTGAAACCAATAAAAAATTTTTAGGCAAAATTAACACTCAAAGGTGTTCTGTAACCTTAATAATAACTTTAGTTAATAAGTATAAAATATTAAATATTGAATAACTATAAAAACTTCCACTGTTGTATGTGCTTGAAAAAATCAATTCGAAATCCGTGGTTGATATAATATAATCATGGGCGTACCGGGCGGGGGCGAATATTGGGTTATTATAAAAATAAATGGGACAAGTTCTGTCAATTTTGTGGGAAATTCTGTCAATTTTGTGATGTTTGGAAAAATTTGTTTGATACTCCGAAAAATTTTGGTATGTCCGAAAAATTTTTTGACCCCTAAAATGGTACACTGACCGAAAATGTTTTGGCGACGGGGGGGGGGCAGGGGGGAGGTCGCCAAAATTAATTGTTCCGGAAAAAAAAATTTCGTCACTGGTTGGGCACAGTCCGAAAAAGTCGGGCAAATTTCTTTCCGCCCCCCTAATTTTTTCCTTCCGGTGCGCCCATGATGGTGTCTGTAATGAAAGCAATATCCCTTCAGCCCGTACGATATCTCATGTGATGAAGAAAGAACTTACTTTTACTCGAAAGCGTTTATCCGGCTGTAACGCCTTTGGAATCGTTAACAGCTTTGACCCAAGAAAAGCTATAGACCAATATTTTGAAGATATTTTACAATTTCCTACGCGAAATATGCCCTTCATTGATGAAGCAAGTGTTGTAAGAACGACAGGAAATCGAAGGTACGGACATGCATTTATTGGGAAGCCAGCAGTCGAAATATGTCGCCACAGTTCCGATGCTAACTTTACTGTTAATTTGTTGTGCAGTATGTTTGGTATCGATTATTACAATATTTTAGAGGGCCCGTCAAATGGATTGGAACTTCTTCAATTCTTTGAAGAAGCCCTAGAACAGGGGTACGAAGACGGAAATCCAATTCTGAGACCGGGTGACGCAGTTGTACTTGACAACTGCGGGTTTCATCATGCTAGGCACGTTGAGCCGATTTTATGAGAGATGCTACTTCAACGTGGAGTAACTTTGGTATTTTAACCACCTTAGGGACCGGTCATTAATTACAGGGGAGGGGGGGCTGGTGGAAATGAAAAATTAGATGCTAAAATTTTGTTGGTCCCCCCTTGAGGATAACACAATTATACTTGACCCCCATGCAAATAACAAAAGGCACATTCGTAAAAATTTAAAATTCCTATTAAGTGAAGCCACATTTAATCATACTACCCTATCATAGTTGCCAACTTTGGGAAAAAAACATCCGTGAGATATTGCCTTGGGGGCCTACGGGCGCCACCATAGTTGGCGCATAGCGGGAAAATTTTGAAAATATGGAGTCTCTAGATCGTTGGAAATGGCATTTTCAGAGTCTTCTATACCTTATACACAATTTTTAGTGGCTTTTATTTAGATATACAAAACCATATTGTTGAATATCCACAAGCACGAGGTTGCATGAAATGATGTTTTGATTATCTAATTTCTCCAGAAGAAAAAGGTTTTATGTAATATGACGTAAATGAAGTCACTCTTAATAGTTAATTTAAAATGTGCAACAAAGGCAACATATTTAAGAACCAGTTGGGTTATTTTCGAAATCTGTGAGAAATTACCAAGCTGTGAGCTCACCGCGAGGTTTTAGTAGAATATGTGAAACTGATGGTGAATTCGTGAGTGTTGGCAACTATGCCCTGTATACATGTACCGTAATTTATACAGTATATTCTTTACCATTTGTTGAGTCCACAGCTGTTCAAATGTAAATGTTTATGCTGAAATCAGTCTAAAGAAATCAGTTTGTGTTGGAGTTTACAACAGTTCTACTGCTCTCTATTTCTTATCTGTTGGTTTTATGGTAGGGCGGGGTCATGCGAGGCAGGTATTTATATTGCACAAAAATTTTTGCCCCCCCCCCCTTTTTCATGCACAAAAATATCTGCCCCCCACCCACCTCATTTTGCACCAGCCCCTCCCCCTCCCTTGTAATTAATGACCGGTTCCTTACTGTCCAAAGTTCAATCCTTGTGAATATTGTTTTGCACACATGAAAAGTTCCCTAAAACATAATGAAAGGTTTACAGTGCACGCTTTACGGAATTAGCTACTGTCAACGCCATGGAACTGATCACACCGGCGTTTTGCTGTGCATTTGTAGAGCACTGTGGATATGCTATTTAAACCAAAAAGTAATTACTAATAATATCAAATGTACATTGGCTACATAAATTTATAAACCTTATTGTTGTGTTTTGATTTTATCAATATAAAAGTTTTCAAATTCGTTTCTACACTACGCTAAAATGAGGTTGTATTTCGTTTATTTATGTTCATTGCAAACAATTTTATAGGTAATTACTGTAAACCAGCTCACGACTTTTACTTCTTTTTAGTTAAAAACTATAAAGGTACATAAACAGAACTACAACTCTGATGTTTTCTGAAATGCCCGCCTTTTATATACAGTAATTACTATTTTTAGCATGACTTGCTAAAAATAGTAATTTGTTGGCAATGAATATTATTGAGAATATTGACGTTGTAATAATATATTTCCATGTAATATATTTATCAGATAACGAAACAAACATCAACTAAATGTTAATTACAGCATGCAAGAGTTCCATAAGACTACACTAATACTGTAAAACGAACAAAAACTACAGTACCGGGTGTCCCTATAATATTCTATTTTCCTATTTAGTCTAAAATACACACACCAAAATCTATTCTATACACAAGCGTCCTTTTTCCACGAGGTTTCTTTCTCTACCCCCTTTTGTGCCCTATATCCTCTAAATCCATATCGGTCCCTTAATATCAACTATGGTCATAATATAATACAAAATAACTCAAACAGAAACACTATATCCCTCCCCCCTTTTAAATGTTAGTATCAAACAATATTTAAGCGTTCATTGTTGATCCTGAAATGTTTTAATCCAAGACAAAGTCTTTCAACCGTGCTGGTAGCTTGTGTCCACGTACAGGCCGTCTCTCCGTTGGCTTGGTTTGATGTTGTTCACCTGTTCGAGAAGTACAACATTTTTGATCTGATCTTTTCTCGTTCGGTGTCTGCAATTTCCTGACAAACGAAACATTTCGCATGATGCACGGTTCGTCTCCACGTTTTAAGAATACGCTTGGTCCTTTCTTCTTGATTATAGTATATGGTTGTGGATCATACGAGGAGGACAGTTTGTTTTTCTTTAGTTCTTTTAACAGCACGACATCTCCCTCCTTTATCGTAGACGAGATGGCATGTTGGGTCTTGTCAGCATATTCTTTTGTGCGTTGTTTGTGGTTGTGATCATGTTCACAAGCAGCTTCTAGGGTCGGACTTGGCTGGTCTACACGGATATGAGGCAATTTTGTTTTATTTCTGCGACCAAAAAACAGCTCGGCGGGAGAGATGCCAGTAGATATACGAGATGTTGCTCTGTACATCATCAAAAATTTGGGTAGTTCTTGTTTCCAATTGCGACCTTCCGCGTGAGCAGCTTTGACAGCTTTTCCTAACGTTTTGTTGAATCTTTCAACAGTGGCATTCGCAGCAGGCCAGTATGGTGTAATAAGGCGGTGTTTAATACCACAACTGTGTAGGAATGATTTGAACTCGTGGGAAGTAAACTGAGGGCCGTTGTCTGATACCATTTCTTCAGGGTAACCAAACTGGGAAAATATGTTCTCTAAACGATTGATAATGGTAGTGGCTGTAGTAGAACTCAATATTTCGACCGCGGGCCAACGAAAACATGCATCAACTAAGACTAGGAGTGATTCGCCGGTGGGAAAAGGACCACTTTCATCCGCATCTGGTATCACTTTATCAACTTTACTTTCCTAACCATTGTTTATTTCCACATAAAACCTTTTTTGGTCGCTCTGAAACATTCTATTCTGTCTATATTGTTTCACCCTCTGTTCATACCTCTTTACCTTCGCTATTTTCGCATTATTATTATTATTATTATTATTATTATTGCCGATGATGCTGCGGTTATTACTGGTCAAGAGTCGGAAAATCAACATCTCCTTAATCGATTCTCTATCTGGTGTCAATGGTCCAACATGGTTGTTAGAGTTGATAAATGTAGCACATTTGGCATCAAAAAAGTTTTATCAAAATCTGCCCAGTACCTGCCGAAGCTTTTGATCAATAAGGATCTCATACCAATTACCAACGAATAAGACTGGAGAATCATTTGAGTATTTGGGACGACGCTTCGACTTTAACATGACTAATGAAAAACATAAATCTAAACTGATGTCCCTCATTGATGAACTAATGTCCGAAATAGATCTTAAACCTCTTCACCCAAAAAACAAAATTTTACTTTACAGTCGTTATGTTTTGTCGAAACTATCCTGGCATTTTACTGTTGCTACGATATCTAAAACTTGGGTAGTCGAAAATATCGATTCTTCGGTGAACAAGTACATCCGAAAATGGCTGGAAGTACCTATATCTGGAACACTAAGTAACGTTTTTCTATAACCCGTAATAAGTTTGGTTTAAATATCCTCCCTGCATCAGTCAAATTCATTCAGTGTCAAACAGTTCTACGCAATGCCCTAAAAACATCTCCGTAACGTTCAATACAATAGCTACAACTCAACTAAAGAAGTTTTAAAAACTTTCCATTCTCAACAAGAAAATAAACTTAGGAACCGTTTGAAATGTCAAGGTTCCTTTTTCGAAAATGTTTCTAAATTCTCGCTATCACAACTTAACGCAATCTGGTCGGTATCGCTATCAAAGCAGAAGAACATTTTCAACTTTACAGTTCGCTATATAAATGATACCATTCCTACCCGAAAGAACCTCAGTAGATGGGGAATTTCATCGAGTTCTGACTGCTCGTTCTGCTTACACCCTGAATCACTTCTACACGTTGTTGCCGGTCAGGGCATTTTTTAAGAATTCGTCAGTGGGGGGGCCATCTACAAAAAGGGACCATACCATACCGAGTGTGGAGCAATGATAGATGGTTTGTTGGTAACAAAAAGTTTGGTGTGGTATCGCATTTAATAGTAGGGGGGGTGAGAGCAGGGCCGTAGGAAGCTCTTTTCGTTTGGGGGGGGGGGCTGAAAGCGAGGGCCGAAGGCCCGAGGAAATTTTTAAATTTAGAGTCTCTGAAATGCCATTTCCTGGACTTTGGGGAAGATTTGACAGATTTCTGATTGTCAGAAAACAGCGTTTTTAGTATGTGGAAATTTAGAATTCAGTAGTACTAAATGGACGAAGGTGTATTTAGTTAACGATATATTGGATAAGTTGCAGGAAAGTATGGGTAATATCTTCATTCTTTGCAGTTTGTCATGGATTAAATAATAAAGGTCTGCATGATTTTAAAAAATGAATGATTATTAGCAAATTACTGGGGGGCTGCAGCCCCCCAGCCCCCCCACACCGGGCGCGGTTGCTACGGCCCTGGAGAGGGTCTGGGGTTTTCTCCCCCAGAAAATTTTTGTATTTTTCTACCCCTATGACTGCAATTCCCTGCATTTTCTGAAACAGATTTTTTGATATACAGCATTACATTATGCTGTAGATAGACTGAACCTTCAGTTAAGTACTTGCATAGTATGTTTATGTAGATACCACAACTTGGCCGTCACTTAGGGAGCCAGCTTGATAAACTTAGAGTTCCCGACTCCCACGAAGCGCCACCATGGTTGGCACAGAGTGGAAAAATTTTGAAAATTTTGCGTCTCTAAATCATCGGAAATGGCATTTTCAAAGTCTTCTATACGTCTTTTGTTTGGCCCTTTCATTAATTCGTTCATTATGATTTGTGAGTCTATGATATCCGCGAGTCAGGATGGATTATTACAAGAAATGTTATCAAAATATCGATTACAGATATTTGATTATATGTATATATGATTTAAAATACTTCTAGCCCCGAAATCAAATTGGTTTTTTTTGGTGGGGGCCAAAATTATCCCCCCCCCCCTTATAAAACACATGGTTGAGGGCCTGTTGCCCCCTGCGGTCACTAACTTGTCCAACAACTCAAACTCTATAGGGTCTGGGAAATGCAATCCACTGCCTGGGAAATGTTTAAAATCTAATAAGGTATTTATTAAACATAAAAGACAGGACATAAGATTCACAAAGCAAATTTCAGTTACCAGAATATCAAACCTCCCTTCTAAATTCAATGTTTTGCTTATATTTTAGAGAAAAGGGACTTTGACTGGGGGGGCCAAAATGGTTGAGTGGGGGGGCCACCATGGGGGCTGGGGGGGCTTTGGCCCCCCCAGTTATATAGTTAAAAAATGCCCTGTTTTTTTGGCCTTGTTTGGCCTTGTTTTTGACATGTGCATGCCAAATCTACACATGAAATACAAGCAAGCGATAGTTTGTTGTCGCAGTTTCACAAGCGCGGAAAATTTTTAACTTTAAATATTTCATGCACAATATATGAAAAACTA